TTTGGTTTTCTGGGGACCAGTCTTGTGTTTTGCTGTGAAATAACATTATTGCTGTTTTCTGGGCTTCCTCTCTTTGGAAGGTATTGTTTTCCTGTCTTTGTCCCTCAGTTAATCTAAAACTGTTTGACGTTTTACTAGTGGTTAAATAGGTATGATATTAAACTTAATTTGGCCAATTGTCATCGTCTATGAAACAGTACCTACTGATTACTAATTCTGATGATAAAAGGTGGCCACATTCAGTTAGTGTCATCTGCAGGTGTGAGCCTCAGCCTAGCAAATGCAGGAGGATCAACTCAACATTCAGAAGAGTCTCGCCAGTTACAAAATCCGTGGCGAGATCAAGAGACCTCCTACCTGCTCCAGACATAACCACCGGAAAGTACAGCGGGGAGAAAGCTGTCACACTTGCATAGCTGCAGCTCAGAATAACCAAGACGCAACTTTAAAAGGAACACGCAGCCCTGGCCAGGGAGCTCGGTGGTCAGAGCGTTGTCCCCAGATGGCAAGGCTGTGGGTTCAATCCGCCCGTCTGGGCACATATAAGAATCAACCAGGGAATTTATCAAGTAGAACAACAAATCGATGCCTCTCTTTCTCTCCCTTTCTCTCTCGGAAGTCAATCAATAAAAAATAAAAAGACACAGGCGGATGTGAAACGTCAAGAACAGCCTCGTATTTAGAGACAGGAAGTGGGTTCTGCATGCCAGGGGCTGGGGGAGGGTGTGAGTGACTATTGAGAAGGACAAGGTTTCTTTGGGGTGCTGAGAATGTTCTAGAATTTGATGGCGATTGTTGCACAATTTGGGGAATGTACTAAAAATTACTCAGTTGTTCACTTTAAAATAGTGAATTTTATGGCATGGGACTTACAGCGCAATTTAATAAATGATATGAGTACCCTAGTCGGCGTGGCTCAGTGGATAGAGCTTCAGCCTGTGGACTGAAGGGTCCCAGGTTCGATTCTGGCCAAGGGCACATGTCTGGGTTGCAGCTTGATCCTCAGTGGGGGGGGGGGGGGGGGGGCTGGGGGCGGGGGCGGGGGGGCGTGGGTGCAGGAGGCAGCGGATCAATGATTCTCTCTCATTGCTGATGTTTCTATTATCTCTCTCTCCCTCTCCTTATCTCTCTGAAATCAATAAAAAAAATTTTTTTTTTAAGAAAGGAAATGCTTTGCACACAGAACACCCTGGTTCCTATTAACTTGGTTCTCCTGGAAAAAGAGAATTAGAGGTGAGCCCTAGGGTCACGGGTTCAATTTCTGGTCCAGGACACATACCTTGGTTGTAGGCTCAATCCCCACACCCTGTTGAGGCAGTCAATCAGTGTGTCTCTTTCACATGGATGTGTCTCTCCCTCTTCAAAAATCAGTGAAAAATGTCCTCACTCCTTGAGTGAGGATTAAAAAAAAATTTAGAAGTGAGCTTCTGAAAGACTCCCTGAGAGTCACTCGTCCCAACAGGACAGTTCATCCCAAAACTTGTCCTACCAGGAGAGGCAATGGGGGCAGGTAGGTGCCTGGGAATCTAGTCATACAGGCGGTGGTGGAAGGAACCACAGTGTTCAGCGTGGACGAGACACCTGGCCCTGTACCCTGCTGGCCAATACCCGAGGGCCTATCATTTCGGAGTGGCTGTGGATGGACAGAGAATGGGACAAAGAAGGGCAGAACGAGGCAGAGGGCAGCCTCTGATGTATCTAAGAGCTGTTCTTCCAGAAACTCAAGACCCCAGTGGGGCCCCCTAGATCCGGAGCCCCCGTCACGGAAAGTTTCCGCCCCAGGGCGGGCGCTGTCCTACACCCTGCTGCTCAGCAGGGCGGCTCTAGCTGCAGGTGCCTGCTTAAATTCTAATGAAAGGTTCTTCCTCAGCCCTTCCCTCCACAGTAGCCCCTGCAGGTGGAGTCTTTTTTTTTCTTTCTTTTTCTAAATATATTTTTATTGACTTCAGAGAAGAAGGGAGAAGGAGAGTTAGGAATATCAATAATAAGAGAGAATCATTGATCAGCTGCTTCCTGTGCTCTCCCTACTTGGGATCGAGCTTACAAATCTGGGCATGTGCCCTGACCAGGAATTGAACTGTGACCTCCTAGCTCCTAAGTTGAAGCTCAACCACTGAGCACACTGGCCGGGCTGCAAAGCATTTCTTCCTAGAGGGCTTTCCTGTGACTGCTGTAACCAATGACCACCAACTCAATGACTTAATAATGTGTTTATTCACTTAAAGTTCTGGGTTCAGGGGTTAGTTCCATGGGGCCAAACCCAGGTGTGGGCAGGGCTGGCCTTTCCTTAGGCTCCAGGGAGAATTGCTTCAGGCCGTTTCCAGCTTCTAGAGGCCCACCCCCCTGGCTTGTGGCCCCTCCTCCCTCATCACAGGCAGCAGCTCCGTCTCTTCCATCTCTGACTCTGACCCTCCTGCCTCCTCTGAGGACCCTGTGAAGACATTGTCCCGCCCTCCCCTGGGAACCCGGGTCGTCCCCCTCTCAGATCATTCTCTCTGGGATCCCCTTTCCACGTGGGCGACGTGTCCACATGTCCCTGAACTGGGACGGGGGCTGTTGAAATAACAGTAACAGCTCCCAAGCCCTTTCCCTGGTCCTGGAAATTACTGAGGGTAAAGCAAAGGGCAAGGAGACAATGGCTTCTTTAGAAGGTATTTCCAAGCAACATGGAATCCCTTCACTCTGAAGAGAAGCACCTCCCTCCCACGGTGTCAGCACGCCCTCTGGCGGCCAGGAGCCATACTGTGCCCGCAGGTTCTTTTTTTTTAAATTTTTTTTAATATATTTTGATTTTGTACAGAGAGGAAGGGAGAGAGATAGAGTTAGAAACATCGATGACTCTTGAGCGAGAGTCATCGATCAGCTGCCTCTTGCACACCCCCTACTGGGGATATGCCCGCATCCAAGGTACATGCCCTTGAGCAGAATCGAACCCGGGACCCTTCAGTCCCCAAGCCGATGCTCTATCCATTGAGCCAAACCAGTTTCGGCCCGCAGGTTCTTTGTTGCCAATCCACCCCGTGGCTTTGCGAGGCCCGGGTCCATTAGGCGCCTCTTCCCCACCTGCGCCCTTTCCAGGAGCACCGCCTGCAAGGCTGCTTGCAAAAACCAAATCCCACTGGCCCTAAAATGATGACATTTCACACTTGCAAAGGCCCCTGAGAGTAAGATATCTGCTCCCCTTTTTCACTTATGAAAGAAAAGTTGTGTCACTTTGTCCTGTGTCCAAGGTTGCAGCTAATAATGGCTGGAATGGGCCCCAGCTGGTTTGGCTCAGTGGGTAGAGCGTCGGCCTGCAGACCAAAGGGTCCAGGTTCCATTCCAGTCAGGAGCACATGCCCGGGTTGTGGGCTTGATCCCCAGAAGGTGTGCAGGAGGCAGCCGATCAGTGATTCTCATCATTGATGTCTCTCTCTGAAATCAATAAAAATATTAAAAAAAATAATGGCTGGAACAGGAACATCCCTCTGTTCCCTCTCAACCATTCTTCTGCACTCAGTCCAATGTTTTCTGGAAACTTCTCACATGGCAAAAAGTCATAGAGCTAGATCACATTGGGTAGGTGTGAGAAGTAACCTAGACAACGAGAACGCAAAGCCCACCTCCCCTATGGCATTCCTCAACCTGTTTCTGACGTTTTTATTCTAATAGCCCCACCCTACACCCCATGAAACCCTAACCCACCCCCATTCTGTGCATTTGGTTATCTGTTGGGGTGCTTTGGCAGAGAGCACCCCGGCGACAATGACAGTGATGTGTTGGGACAGCAAGGCCCCTGCCAGGAAGACAAACGACAGCCAGCAGCAGCGGGTATGAAAATGACACAATTTATTCTGATGTTCGTGTGGGAATACCCACAGGCACAGAGAGTGGGGCGGGAGTCCCTGCTCCCTTCCCCGGCCTGGCGGGGCCGAGGGGAACTGGCGGAGACCTGGGAGGGACACAGTGGTTCTGGTGTTTGGTTGTGGTTTGTACTTAAAAGGAGCTACATTCGACTGGATGGTTTTCCTTCAAGGCCTGTCTTCCCGGACCTGGGAGCTCGGCCGGTGGTGCCCAGGACGAGGCTGAGGCTGTGTTAATTGCACTTGTTTGGTGCTGGGAGATGGTGCCCCTCTCTCTGTGGGCGTCCCCGACACCTAAGGTCCTCAGAGGTGGGTGTGGGTGGCGTGGGGGCTGCCATGGGAAAGGCCACTGGTGTGCTGAGGGCAGGATTGAGATGTAGGGAGCCGGGAACTGGGGCAGCTCTGACTTCCTGAGGTCACTGTGTGCCTGGCCACATGCCTGTTCTTCGGGAGACAAAGCCGGGATTCAGGCCGCCTGGCCATGAAGGGCCACGCCAAGGGTTTCATATAAAGGGCAGGCACCTGAGGAAAGGCCAAGTTCAGAGACCCCAAATCCAGGACAGGTTCTGTGGGAGGGTCATCTGGGTTATTCCTAACGGAGGGATGTTTGTCTAGAGGGGAGGTGAGTTCATTATCCTATATAATAAAAGGCTAATATGCAAATTGACCAAATGGCAGAACAACCCATTGATATGACGCACTCTGACCACCAGGGGGCAGATGCTCAATGCAGGAGCTGCCCCCTGGCGGTCACTGAGCTCCCACAGGGGGAGTGCTGCTCAGCCAGAAGCAGGGCTCACAGTAGGGCCTCTCCCACCTCCACAGCAGCCCCAAGTGCTCCGGACTGTGAGAGGGTGCAGGATGGGCTGAGGGGACCACCCCAGCCCCAGTGCGTGAATTCCGTGCACTGGGCCTCTAGTTTATAGATAAAAAGCTGTTTTCCTTTAACATCCATCTCAAGGTGGTTTTCAGTGGGACTGTATGAAAACCTCAATCTTTGCCCCAGCTGGAGTTGGTTAGAGTGTTGACCCACAGACCAAAGGGCTGCAGGTTCGATTCCCAGTCAAGAGCACGTACCTGAGTTGTAGGTTTGATCCCCAACCCCGTTAACTGTGTGTGTGGGAAGCAACCAATCTATGTTTCTCTCTGTCTCTCCACCTCCCTCCCTCCCTTTCACTCTCTCTAAAAAAATCAATGGGAAAAATATCCTCGGGTGAGTATTAACAAAAATATAAAAATAAACAGAAACTTGATCTTTTATGATATGTGAAACCTGGGGTGCAGACGTGGGGTCGGGAAACCCCGGCGGATGAGCAGACGTTTTGGATGCCCGGAGGGACAGAGGGACTGAGGAAGGGGGGAGCCAGGGCACGTCGTACCTCTCATGACACAGACACGGGCTCAGGAGGCATGCGAGGGAACTGAGGCTTGAAGCCCAGCAGAGGTGGGTCCTGTTTTGCCGACAGTCTGTCCTCTCCTGGGCGAGCAGGCTAGGGGCATTCGGGACAGGCCTGCGAAGGGCAGGCAGAGTCCCGGCCTCCAGGCAGATAAAGTGGGTTTCCCAGTTGCTCACAGCAAACAGAATCACATACAGGAGTTCAGGCCCAGCTCCCCGTGGGGCCCGGGGGCGGGCGCGTGGTGCACGGGCCACAGCTGCGGGCGTCTCAGAATCAGAGGACGCAGCCCCGGTGTCCAGAGCGGCACTGGGGCCAGAGGTCCCCACTGACAGCTGTGGAGGTCGCCGAGCGGCCAGGGTCCAAGTTCCGGGAAGGGCCCTCCGGTCCACGTGCCCCAGCACTCTCAGTGGCACATCCGGGCGGTCATTTCTTTCTGTTAAGAACAAGCAGGGCATCAGGGGCTGACACAGAGGTGCCGGTGTCACACACACACACACACACACACAGAAGCAGGGGTGTGGTCTCAGAGACTCGGGGCCTCACTTAAGGCCAAACCTCACAGAATGGGGGACAGACAGCAGCACGCCCCGGGCTCAGAGGCCAGGGGGTGTCTGGCTGCTCACCTCGGCCCCGTTGCTGAAAGCAGCAGGAGTGAGAGAACGGCTGGGCGTGCCAATAAAACGACTCACAAAACGCTTTTACTGGCCCAGCGCCCCCTCCCGGTCCCTCAGTCCCCCCTCACCAGCGGCTCCAGCTCCTTGGTGTCGATGAGCCCGAACTCCTTGACGAAGTAGTAGAAGTGCTTGTAGCAGGTGTTGACGTGCGCCTCGGAGCCCATCTGGGCGATGCGGTCGAAGTGGTGGATGTAGACGTGCACGAACACGCGGAACAGCCTGGACAGGATCTTCTTCACCACCTGCAGGAAGTTCTTGGGGAACGGCGTGCCTGGGGACAGCGAGGGCAGGGCGCTCAGGAAGCAGCCGCGGGCCCAGCGTGGCCTGAAACCACTGCCCCTGGACCGCGGGCGCGAACTAGCTGTGAGCTGGCGGCTCAGGGAGCCTGAGGCCCCGCGCTCGCTCAGACAGCTCATGTCCCGGTTCCTCCTGAAGTCAAGTGCTGACTCGGTGGGCGGCGTCTGTCCCCGGGAAGGAGCTCCTTTCTCCAGGACCCTCGGCTTCCTGATCCCCACCCTGGTCCTCTCAGCTCCAGCTCCAGGGAGCCCACTGAGATGCCACGAGAAACCCCCGGTTCTGCTGCCTGACTACGCCCGGGGATGGAGGACAGGCCTGGAGGTGAAGCCCGTGCTCAGGGCACCACCAGCCGCTCTGGCCCGCTGGTCCAGCCTCCCTGGGATGTGCTGGGTGCCACACATCCCTTTTGCCTTTGCCTAGTTCCTTTCCCAGAACCTAGACCAACATTTTATTCCCAACCACGTGTGCAGATTGTGGATCTGCTGTGTGCACTTCGGGATCTGGCCATGTGTATGTGTGTGTGTCTTCCTTCCTTCCTTCCTTCCTTTCTTTTCTCTCTCTCTCTCTCTCTCTTTCTTTTTTTAATATATTTTATTGATTTTTTTACAGAGAGGAAGGAAAAGGGAGAGAGTGCTAGAAATATCGATGAGAGAGAAACATCGGTCAGCTGCATCCTGCACACCTCCTCCTGGGGTTACGCCCGCAACTAAGGTACATGCCCTTGACCGGAATTGAAGCCAGGACCCTCAGTCCCCAGGCCGATGCTCTATCCTCTGAGCCAAACCAGTATGTTTTTCTAGTAACATTTATTTTTTTTAATAGAATGGGACAACCCCTAAAAACATTTTTTTTACCTTTAATATTTTCCACTTGGTATCTTTCTCTCCATCATAAGTAGTTTTTAAAAAATCCTCACCCGAGGATGTTTTTATTGATTTTTAGAGAGAGAGGCAGAGACAGACAGACAGACAGACACAGAGACATCACTGTGAGAGAGAAACACTGGCCGCTGCCTCCAGCACGCAGACCAGGGACGGAACCTGCAACCTTTTGGTGCACAGGGCGACACTCTAACCAAGCCACTGGCCAAGGCTTACATATGTTTTTATAAACAATTTCATGTACTTGTCGGAGCTTAACTGAATCCATGCACCATGTTGCAATTTCTCCTATTATTGTATTTACTTTTAAAAACCGTGGCGACGTTCACCCACCTTGAGCTTCCCTATCTGAGTCATTCTAGGCGACAGTTTGGTGCCTGAGGCACATCCATGCTGCTGTGCTGTGTGTCATGGGTTCCTCAGCTCCAGCCTGCTACCCCCCAAGACGTCCCATAGGCAAGACAGAAGCCACACGTTCAGGAGGTCCAACCAGTGCTATCAGGTAGGTGGCCTGGGGCCAGGACTGACAGACTGGCCCATCCTTTTTGTTTTTTAAATTGATTTGAGAAAGAGAGAGAGAAAGAGGAGAGAAGCACATGGTTTTGTTATTCCACTTATCTATGCATTCGCTCGCGGCCCTGACCGGAGATGTAACCACAACCTTGGTGGATCCGGACGATGCTCTAACCAGCTAAGCCAGGGACAGCTCAGCCCACCTCGAAGAGGGGCTCGGGGGCCAGCGAGGACACAGATGTGGCCAGCCATGGGAAGCTGCGGTGCACCAGACTCACACTGTGGCTATCGGGCCTGTGGATGGCTGAGTCATGGCCAGTGACATCCAGGGGAGCACAGGGTATCCATGTGCCGGAAGATACAGGGCCTGCAGCAGACTGGGACGTGAAGCTCTGACATGGGAGCCAGCACAGCTGCGCACCACCGTGGAAGGGCTGACCTGTGTCCAGTTATGGCAACTGGGAAAGAACAGGCTCTCTGTACACGGAAGGACCAGCTGGCTCTGTCCACGCCTCTGAATCTGAGCCAGATGACCTCCTCCATGTGAGGACTGATGGCTCTTGTGTTCCCTCGGAGAGGGGCTATCAGGAGTCAGCAAGGGTGACGCTGGGGAAGGGGAGTGATTAAGAGCAGCTCATCCTCGGAGTAGGGCTTAGAGATGGGCAGAGTGGCCTGGTTGGTTGAGCATCATCCTGTGCACCTAAAGGTTGTTGGTTTGATTCCCAGTCAGGGCACAGGCCAGGGTTTCTGGTGTTTGATTTCCAGTTGGAGCAGTATGGAAGGCAACTGGTCAATGTCTCTCTCTCTCCTCCCTTCCTCTCTCTAAACATGTCCTCAAGGATGAATAAAAATAATAAAAAAAGAAAGAAAAAAGAAAGAAAAAAAGAAATGTAATCTCCAGGACTGTATAGCCTAAGCATGCAACAGCATTTTCATGCAGGGGCTGAAATTTGGCCCACTGCCTGCTTTTGTAAATAAAGTTTTATTTAGAACACAGGCCCGCTATTTGTATACACAGTATCCATGACAGCTTTTGGGTTAGATGGCAGGTTTGAGAATTGAGACATAAACCTTCTGGGCCATAAAGGTGCAGAGATATACTGTGTGGTCCTTTTCTTTTCCATAGAGTTTTATGGTTTTATTAACACAAATACATTCTGTCTATTCATTTTCTTCGCTGGCCCTGGGAGTGGTGACTGATGGCCAGCGGGGCTGCACTTTCCGCAGTGGCTGTGTGGGTCTTTACGGGGGCCTGTGAGCATCTCAGCACAGTAAGACCTACTATATATCAGCAGCACTTGAAGCTCCTTGACACTGTGGACCAGAAATTTCCGAAAGCCACTGGGCAGCATGTGCTTTGTTTTCTTGTTGCTCCAATAGCCAGCGCTGGGCATCAAGATCCGGCCCTTGCCACGTACCTTGGTTGCGGGCACATCCCCATCGGGGGTTGTGCAGGAGGCAACTGGTCGATGTTTCTCTCTCATCGATGTTTCTAGCTCTCTATCCCTCTCCCTTCCTTTCTGTAAAAAATCAATAAAATATATTAAAAAAAGAAAAGAAAAAGATCTGGCCCTTGCATCTGCTGTGCACTCCATAGTCAATGCCTCTGGGTTTCCACCAGTTACACTAATTTTGACATTTTGGTCTGACAGGTGCTGGATGAACTTCTTGGTCCTTATTTATTTATTTATTTATATTAAATATATTTTATTGATTTTTTACAGAGAGGAAGAGAGAGGGATAGAGAGAGTTAGAAACATCGATGAGAGAGAGTCACCGATCAGCTGCCTCTTGCACACCCCCTACTGGGGATGTGCCCGCAACCAAGGTACATGCCCTTGACCGGAATCGAACCCGGGACCTTTCAGTCCGCAGACCGACCCTGTACCACTGAGCCAAACCGGTTTCAGCTCTTGGTCCTCATTTAAAAAGTATATCTATTTTTATTGATTTCAGAGAGGACGGGAGATGGAGGTCTTTGAAACGTCAACAATGAGAGAGGATCACTGATAGGCTGCTTCCTGCACACCCCTTACTGGGGATTAAGCTCGCCACCTGGCCATGTGCCCTGACCGGGAATTGAACTGTGACCTCCGGGTTCACAGCTCGAGGCTCGATCATCGGGCCACGCTGGCCGGGCCTCGGTCCTCGTTTTGACCATCTTAGATTTCACGAGGGGTCTGAGGGAAGCCATGATGCCCAGCAGGAGATGGCTGCCACCTCTGTAAGCAGTGCCAATCAACACTACCGTGTAGTCCTTTACGGGAAAAGTGTGCCACCCTAATCTAACATCAAAGAGCATGAGCTGGTGGCTTGGGGCTTAAGTGGTGCACAGATGTCATGGCACAGGTATGGAGACGGGGAGAAAATCTGGACCCGTCCTTTCTTTGCTCAGCCATAAATCTAACCCAGGGAGACCCGACAGACTCTGAGTCTCAGACGTACCACCAACAAGAAGCAGAGACGCTGCTGTCGGTGCAAAGCATTTTATTCCACTGGCCTGGCTGGGGGGTCAAAACAGGCTGAAGCCTGGGGTTTGCCAACAGGGCAGGAAGATGTGGCCTGGGACAGACAGGCTCCCAAGGAAAGCAGCAGTGAACCAGACCCCGTGATGTGGTCATGTGGCGGCGGCTGGGCCCACAGAGGGCCAGTCTGGTGGCGTGGCCTCGGACCCTTGTCGGCAGCCATGAGGCATCTGCCAAACTCGTTTTTTTGTTTTTGTTTTAAAATATATTTTATTGATTTTTTTTTACAGAGAGGAAGGGAGAGAGATAGAGAGTTAGAAACATCGATGAGAGAGAAACATTGATCAGCTGCCTCCTGCACACCCCCTACTGGGGATGTGCCTGCACTCAAGGCACATGCCTTTGACTGGAATCGAACCTGGGACCTTTCAGTCCGCAGGCTGACGCTCTATCCACTGAGCCAAACAGGTTTCAGCCCAAATTCGCTTTTAAAAAAAATATATTTTTAAATTGATTTCAGAGAGGAAGGGAGAGGGAGAGAGAGAGAAACATCAATGATGAGAGAGAATCATTGATCGGCTGCTTCCTGCAGCTTTCTACTAGGGATCAAGCCCACAATCTGGGCATGCGCCCTTGACTGGAACTGAACCTGGGACCCTTCAGTCTGCAAGCCGATATTTTATCCACTGAGCCAAACAGGGTAGAGCTGCCAAGTTCATTTTCTCTCAATTGGCCATCAGTTTCCTCTTTGGTAAAACTGCTAGAATCATCATTCCACAGGCGAGGCACTGACTAGAGGACTCAGGGTCTAAGTTCTAGGATGAGGACCATAAGGAGCTGTCAGACTTGAGGGGGACGCGGGAGGCGGTGAGTGAGAACACAAGCTTGTGCAGACACGGACTCCAGGGCCAGAGCACAGACTCAGTGGCCTGATGGGTGGGTGGGGGCACCTGTGAATCCCTGTTTTGGGAAAGAATCTATTCTGAGTCGGTCTTTTCTCTGATGGGCCTCTGAGAGCCCCCTGACAGTGGCAGGCCCGTTCCCCGTACAGAGGGTGAGTAAGGTCCAGAGGGGTGAGAAACTTGACCCCGTCAGCGACCAAGGGCTGGTTCCCGAAAACTGTTCGCCGTTTTCCATGGTGCTGAGTTGATGCCAATGGTGACAGTGAGAAGGGCCTATATGTGGGTTTCTGAGGGCTGTTGTAACAAATTATCACCAACCTAGTGCTTAAAATAACTCCTGTGTGCTCCCTCATCGTCCTGGAGAACAGAGGTCTCGTGTCAGTTTCATGGGGCTGATGTCAGGTGCGGGCAGGGTTGCCTCCTTTAGGAAGGTCCAGGGAGGGTCCATTTGCTGCCTTTTCTGGAAGCTGCTGACATTCCTGGGCTTATGATCATGTCTTCCTTCTCCTGTGACCACATCACCTTCTCTTCTGTGTGTCTAATGGCCCTCTGCCTTCTTTTATAGGGACCCTTCTGATGAAATTAGGGCCCAGAACCATCTCAAGAACCTTAACATGAAGCAAACCATGGCCGATCCACATACTGGAATAGCACTCAGTCAGAAAAGGAGTGAAGCACTGACACTTGCTGCAACGTGGCTGAACAATGAAAACATGACGCTCAGTGAGAGAAGCCAGACACAAAGGCCACACAGTGTGTGATTCCATTTATGTGGGATGTCCACAGGGGACAGGAAGTGGACTGGTGGTTACGGGGCTGGGACAGAGGGATGGGGTGACTGCTCATGGGGATAGGGGATGTTTTGGGGTTACTGATATGTCCTGGAATTAGAATGTATGGTTGCATAACCCTGTGAATGTACTGTACTAAATGGCACTGAACTTACACTTTAAATGGGTGGATTTCATGGTTTATGAATTCTATCTCAGTGAACTGTTATTAAAAACACCCCCCTCCCGCCTCGGCCTCGGCCCAGGCCGCCCACTCACCAACGTTGGTGGGAAAGATGTCCTCGTTGTTGATCTGCACCTCGATCCAGTCCATGAGCAGGTCCATGTACCGCGGGGCGGACAGCGCCGTGGGCTTGCGGAACTTGTGCTCGTCCTGCCAGCGGTACTCGTACTTGGGGCCTCCCGACATGACGGGGCAGGACTGCTCGGTGCAGCCGTCGCTGATGGTGCCGTAGATGAGGTTGACGCGGTTGAAGAAGTCCACCACGTGCACCGCCACCCAGTCGTTGAGCTCCTCGCCGGAGGGCAGCTGCACCGCCAGCTTCAGGTCCAGCCCCGCGTTCAGCGAGGCCTGTGCCTTCTTGTGCAGCTCAAACCGCTGGGTGCCTGGCTCGAACTTGCGCTTGGGGCGGAAGGTCTTGTCCTTGTTGAAGACCTGCTTCAGGAAGGGGTTGGACATTGTGGTCCTCGCTGCACACTCCTGGTGTCGGCCACCAACCCAGAGGCGACTGGAAATTCACCGGCTCCCAGGTCTTCCCCGAGATCTGAAACGCAGACAGAGAATTATCACCTGATCCTGGAAACCCTGTTCTGGAAGCATGAGGGGCCACACGGGGGGTTTTCCCAGGACTTGTGGTTTGAGTTCTACGGCTCCTCAGTAAAGAGAAGTGCCCCAGGTGTGTCCCCACTGTCTCAGAGCAGGAAGTGCTGAGTCAAGGCCTCTGAGGATTCAGCCAGGCTGCATCCTCCTCTGGCCAGCACCCAGCGCTCTCTAAAGTGGGAGAGGGTGTGTAAACCTCCACAGCGGCTCAGGGTGACCGTAACGGGCTAAGTGGTGGCCTCTGTACAGAGATGTCCACTCCCCCAGGACCTGGGATTGGGACCCTATTTGGAAAAAAGCCCCATTCACATATGTGATTAGGTTAAGGATCTTGGAATACGCTCGACCTGGATCATCTGGGAAGGCCTTATGATGAGGGACCTTACAGGAGGAAACACACAGACACACAGGGAGAAGTCCATGTAACGGTGGAGGCAGAGATGGGGTGACGTGTCTATAGGCCAAGGGACAGCAGGGGTCACCGACACTGCCAGAGCCAAGGGAGGAGCCTGGAACAGTCACCCCTTTGAGCCTCAGAGGGGACCAGCTCACTCTGACACCCTCCAAGGCTGAGGGAAAAAATCCTGTTGCTTCTCTGTGTCTAAACCTCAGCATTAGATTAGCGCCCACCTCAATCCAGAGGGAACTCCTGTTATCATTTTGATGATATCTGCAAAGACCCCACTTCCAACAGGTGGACATGAGTTTGGGGGACACACTGTTCACCCCAGAATACCTCCTGAGAAGGTGGACCAGCTTGTCTGGGACTTGCCTGTGCCTACATGGGCACAGGCCATGTTTGGGGGGGCAGAGCCTTGATCTGGGGGCTGCAGCCGGCGTCCCCTGCCGAAGGCTCAGTCTCCTACCCAGGCACCCTCTCCTGGCTTTGCTCCGTCTCCCCTCTGTTACGGGGGAGAGTAACAAGCTCCACTCGGAGGTGAGGGGATGGAATGAACATGAAGCCAAAGGCCCTGCTCACTCAGGCTGCAGCCACTGCATCACCCCAATATGGCCTCCACTCTGCCATGAGGACGGCGCCAGCCAACCTGCAGCCTCCTTGTCTCCATCTGCAGGCCCAGCTGGGCCCCCCTCCTGGGAGTGTGCGTGTGGAGGAAGCAAGGAGGGGGGGTGCCCATAGGGCTGGTGGGTGGGGGGTCTTGGGGAGTTCACCAAAGAGAGGTAATAAATAATAATTTATAATGTTATTATAAACGCCCCCCTTTCTTTGCTTCCATTGTGGTGGGAACAAAAAAGGGGCAACAGAGCAGAACTGACAGCCTGGGGCCGTCCGGCAGGCCTGGCGGGCTCAGTGCCAACAGTAACCATAGAAGACCATCTGATCCGCCCCCCCAACCCCCCCGGCAGGCTGTGGGGGGCGGTCACGTCCCGGGCCGGGGTTTCCTTAGCCAAGGCCAGTCTTTACGTTCAGTGAGCCCTGCCCACTGCCCCGTGCATCTAGCTAACACCTTTGAAAGGTCAGAGCCATCTCTGTTCCAGACCCCAGGAGGGCAACCACCCCCCAGAGTGTACTCCTGGCTGTCCACACACCATCCCTGTTCACAGCTGTCAACCTCCCTGCACCCCCAACGTAAAAGAAGCACGTGTCTCATTTTACCTTGTACCCCATCCTAGGATTTCCCACTTAGCGTTCTCCTTAATCTCCCACCAACAATTTCACCTACCCGTCCTTCCTGTCCTCCTTTGATTCCAATGCATCAAAAGAACTGCAAACTGCATTCTCCGGAGCATTGTCTCGATCCCTGGAAAACTAGCTTCTAGGCATGTCCTCAGTTTGGCTCAAAAAACCTCTGAAAATTTCTTACAAGATCCTTCTATAGCCTGGATGTTCTCTTGTGGGTGTTCATTTCTGTGACATGTGGCCAGCTGGGTTTGTCAGGTGGCCCACCCTCAGGGCTCAGCACACCAGGTAGCAAATGACCTCAAACTAAGGGGACTGGACCTCACATCCTCTACAGGGACCCAGGACAGCCCCAGGAGTAAGATCCAGGGAGCTAGCACTGCCAAGGCCAGGCTCAGCCAAAGGGAAGTCACGTCCACTCCGAACACAGCACCAGCTCAGTGCAGCAGGGTGCAGGCCAAAGTCAGGGCTGGTCCTTCCCGGGCCCTGAGAGTGAGCTGGTACTTACACACTGTGTCCCTGGGGCCAAGGTGACGTGACTCAGATGACAAGATGGCTTAAGGGTGAGGATTTCAGAAAGTTGAGTCATGGCTCAGGCCACATCCTGGAGGCCAGACAGCCTCCTCCAGGCTCGGCCCTGCCCATCTCGGGCCCAGGAAGTCTCTGAGGGCAGAGGGTTCCTGGCCTTGGTCTTCAAGAGATTTCTCCAGAACCACCGCCAACTCCAGCCTCTCCCATTGCGGGGGTCAGAGGGAACAGGGCAGAGGCTGCCAGCACCACCCTTACGTACTCCACGCACTCAACCAAGACTTAATGCAGAAGGCCAGGCTCTGTCTTCCAGAAGCCTTCAGTTTAACACCAGATACTGGATATATAATAAAAAACTCCTGGACCAGTATTCTCACCCGGCTCATCCTGCCCCTAGAGGACCCTGAGCAATACCTGAGGACATCTGTGGTTGTCACACTGGGGGTGCTCCTGGCATTGAGTGGGGAGGGGCCAGGGATGCAGTGCCTAGATGGTCCCCGGCAGAGTGACTGGCCCCAGTGCCAAGGGTGGGGGTGGGGAGTACTGGGGGGGGGAAGAGACCCTGGTTTAGGTCATTTCACGTAATTGGTGAAATCTGGCCCTAACATTTGGCCTGAACCATGTAAAGCACAGAAGCTGACAACAGGGCAGAGGACAGGAGACACCCCAGTGCAAAGGGAAGTAAACTACCCCACGTGAGGACGGCTGTGATCAACGAGGACATCCAGCCCAGCCGGTGCTGCTCAGTGAGTGCACGTCAACCTGTGAACCGGGAGGTCACGGTTCGATTCCCGGTCAGGGCACATACCCAGATTGTGGGCTCAATCCCCAGAGTGGGGTGTGTAGGAGACAACTGATCAATGATTTTCATCATTGATGTTTCTATCTCTCCCTCTTCCTTCCCCTCTGAAATCAATAAAAATATATTAAAAAACAAAACAAAACAAACAAACAAAAAAACCAGTCCCGGCTGGAGCGTCAATCTTTATACCAAAAAGGTTGTGGGTTCGATTCCCATTCAGAGCACATATGTAGGTTGCGGGTTCGCTCCCTGGAAAGGGTACAAATGGGCAATGTCTGGGGACATCTGTGGTTATCACAACTGGGGGTTACACAAGTGGATGGGGGGTGGCTCCCCACATTAGAAGATACTGACTCAGTACGACAAGCTACTAAGTCAGTGTTTCAGGCCATGCAGCTGGTAGAAGGAGGAGCCTGAGCTCGAACCCTGAACCATGCGGGTGAAGTTATGGTTCTTTTTGCTGAGACACATGTCTCATAACTCACCACTTATCCATCATCCCAGCTTCCACTTGCTTTATCCCAAATCCAGTGCCAGGCACCCTCGAGGCTGCTCTCTCCCTCTAAAATGCCAGCACGGAGTGCAGACCAGCACTCATCCCTGGTTTAGGTGAGTGGGCACAGCCCTGTGGGTACAGGGCCTGGGGGGTGGGAAGGTGGTACCTCCAATGAGGGAAATGGGCAGCCATAAACACTCCACCTGCCCACTTCTCTCCCACCAGAGAACAGGAGGGGGCCAGTCTCAGGCACCTCCAGGAAGCCCTGATTAAGAGGCCACCTCACTGACCCTTGTCTCAGAGATTAGCTGCACCCCTCAGGGCTGGACATCCTAGGATCCTCCATGCCATGGGCGTGTACACTGGGCACGCCAGGTGGGGGCCCTGCAGACCACCTCTCACCGCTAATGCCCAGGTGGCTTGAACACCTGCCCGGTAATGAGTCTGCAAACCAAGTTGCTCTCAGGCCACTCTGGGGCGAGTCAAGGTACAGAAACCCCTGTGAGCCAAAAAAGCCAGGCACCCTCCTGTGCCCACTGCCTGCTGGCACCACAGGGACACTTCCTCATTCCTCATCCGCGGTCTTATTTCAGCCTCTCACACCCCCCCACTTGGTAATGAGAAGGCAAACTGGAGTGCCACACCCCTCACCCAGCAGAGAGGGGCTGGCCGGCCAGGCCCCGAGCCCCGAGCCCCGAGCTGCCTCTACTCCAGGTTCCTGTTTCTCCTGCGGCAAACCTTCTGCCCTGATGGAAGTCCCAACACAAAGAAATCTGCACCAGGCCCGGTCGCTGCCTTCTATTTGGGGGCCTCCTGGGTGATGGCTTTGGGAGCTTAACCACGGACGTCACTTGGGGACGTGAGGCCTGGGAACACAGGAGCCTTAGGGGCATCGACAGGACCACGGAGAACAGCCGCTGCCCGCTGCCTCGCCAAGCCTCAGGGAGGTGGTGGCCTCACTGCCCCCGCCCCGCCCCATGACGGCCACCTTGTCTTCTTCCACATCCCGCCATGCCATTGCACAGACCGTTCTGGAGGATGGGGCAGGGCAGCGAAAGGGGCTTGCAAGGCTCCTGCTCGCCTTTCTGACTTTTCTCAGAAGGTGGGAGGATTTATTTTTAAGTGGAAGCAATGATTTTCTCTTTTTTTTTTTTTTTTAATATATTTTATTGATTTTTTTACAGAGAGGAAAGGAGAGAGATAGAGAGCTAGAAATGTCGATGAGAGAGAAACATCGACCAGCTGCCTCTTGCACACCCCCCACCGGGGATGTGCCCGCAACCAATGTACATGCCCCTGACAGGAATCGAACCTGGGACCTTTCAGTCCGCAGACCGACGCTCTACCGCTGAGACAAACCGGTTTCGGCAGGAAGCAATGATTTTCTGAAAAAGTTCCTGGATGGGCAGAGTTCCCATTAAAGAAAAACAACTTTGTATCAGAAACACACATTCCAGCCGAGACTGGTTTGGCTCAATG